ACACAACGACCGAGACTGTCCGAGCCGGGGCTCGAACCGGCAACCTTCCGATTACAAGGCGAACTCCCAACTCTTGAGCCACGATCGCCCCAATGGTCAATAGTTCTGATTAGCAAGACCTTGTCCAAATGTCTGAAGATACCAAAATAAAAAATAAACAAGTCTGACAGTTTGGAAAATGTATTCATAGATGTTCTTGTGTACCATTCAAATGCTTAAGGATGCTCACAAAGGACGGCCAATCAGGACCTAGTTTTATGATCACAGGTCCCAGTATTCCCACACAGTCAGCTTATGTTAGCACAAAGAACGAATGGAGGAAACATACAATTCAAAGCACAGCTCCTACCAACCCCTAGAGCAGTAATCCAACATGATGTTGGAGCTTTGAAATATGTAGCTTTGAAATATGCTGATACTGCAGGTAATCCAGGTAAGCAAACCCCAAAGAGTGGATTGTGTTCATGCATGGAGTCACTTGGATGAGTGATGAAACGTTTCTCCCACTTTGTGGGGTAGCTTTAAAATGTTGTGATATGTCTGTTATTTGGGCTGGCTATCTGTCAGATCCCAACTGAGAAACAGCCAAGGCAATGCAATCCAGAGGAAGTGTCGTTTTAGGGTGCGGACCCATTGTTTTGTGTTTGTTATTTCTTTTTAGATTCGGGGATTTTAGATTTCTTGAGCTTTTCTGAGAACCCTTTGTTTGTCTCTCGTTGCTAATTATTGTGTATGTGAGTTTCTTTTTTTCTGCCTGCCTGTGTCTGCATTTCTCCTTCAGCACTCACTAAACACTAACACGAGTACAATAACATCAGTTTGATCTAAACTAAGAAGCAGAAAGTTAGCGGCCATCCAGGTCTTTATGTCTTTAAGACATTCCTGCAGTTTAACTCATTGGTGTGTGTTATCTGGCTTCATGGACAGATAGAGCTGGGTGTCATCTGCATAGCAGTGAAAATGTATTTAACCTTTATTTAACCAGGAAGATCCCACTGAGGTTAAAAACCTCCAAGATAGGCAGCAGCAGGTGTCTCACAGTAGAGAAATGACTCCATTAAACACAGGCAGCAACAACACACATGGAAAAATAAATAAATAAATAAATAAATAAATAAAATAAAATTCAATAAAATTCAAATAAAAATAAAAAAAATAGTTAAAACGACAATAAAATATAATTGAAACAGTTGCATGTTATGGGCTTGGCCTCAAGGATTTGTAGTTTAGATTTAAAAGCACTTAATGAAATGAATTCAGTCATTTTCCTCCTGCAGTTTGTTCCAAGTCGAGGGTGCTGAATGGACAAAAGCTCTTTTACCAAGGTCAGTTCGGGCAAATGGAACAGAAAGCAACAAGTAACCATGCGGACGAAGAGAATACCGACCAGCATGTTTCATTACAAGCAGGGAACATAGATAAGAAGGCAGCAACCCAAGTATCGCCTTATATATAAAACTGACAGTGAACCCTGAGTTCCTCCTTTTGTATTCATCAGAGTGAATGTTATATATGTCTCATGCTTGATACAGTCGAAGGTTCAGGACCACTTTGTTCTATTCATTTACGAGAATGCGTTTTCAAACATAATCACATTTTAATGAAATAATAAAAACAATTCATGGACGAGTGTCAGAAGAGAACACAAGCAATCCAAAGTTAAGCTCATCTCGAGATGATTATAGCGACTAGCAAAAGGAACAAAGGCTTCACCTCACTGACATGTGGCATGAGGTTGTTTGTTACTTATGGCTGAGTTGTTGGGTTGTGTACCTCTCACAGACAGGTGTCCAGTGCTGTTGGCTTTGCCCAGGTAGTTTTCAGCAAAGCAGGTGTACTTTCCTTCATCTGCTCTGCTGATGTTATAAATCCACAAGATGCCATCTGGAGTTACTGTGATTCTGAGAAAAGACAATATAACCCTTACTTTAATCTAAAACACTGTAAAATTTAAACATAATCACCGTTCATACATTATTGACAGAACCTGAACATTATATGGCTCATACAAGTAGTGTCTGTGTTTGTACAGGGAAAACTTAACTTATTCCAAGTTGTCTATGGAGCTTAGAAAGAAAGAAAGACAGCGACTGGACTTCTTAAAGGTTGGTGAAGACATTTCTTTCCTCGCCTAAGAGGTGTGTTCAGTGCTAAAACCAAATGTTTAAGAGTCCCAGGTATTTAAACTCTAGAGGGGTTGACCCTTTAGTCGATACTATTTATCATTTACCTCATCACAGGAGCCAAGCTGTCATTTCCACCAGAGGTTTCAGTTAAACCACTGTGAGCCCTTCTCCCACCATGTGACCTACACTTAGACTTATCAGTCTTTTAATCTGATAGTTAACATTGATGCCCAATGCTGGTAAATGACTGTGTCCTAAATGTTATGCAGCTATCTCCCACCAGATGGAGCGCTGTTGTTGAGAACACCACATGTGTGTTTATATATGCATGATCTTTTTAACACTAACAGAGTGAGATTGTAGATAAAAGTTAGCACACTGTCCCAAATGTAGCTAAATCCAGTGGAGTGGTTTTGGTTGAAACTCATTATTGGTTATTATCTTTAATTATTTTATTTTAAAAGATATAATTTTTAAGCAACATTGTTGGTTTTAATGTAGTTTAACCCAAACCACTCCACTGAATTTAGCTAGTAGCTAGCGCGCTGATTGGAGGCCAAAACAGCTAATCAAAATTTTTGTATCCAAGTCTGTGATTGGTTGGTTTTGTGGCACATTTCTAATGGTGCACAGAGAGTTGAGCGTGCACGGAGCAGAGATGGTGAGAGCGACACACTGAGAGCAGGTCTGCAGAGATCTGAGGGAGAGCAAATGCTAACAACTGATCGAGATGGATTGTCATTGTGTGTGTATACGGATAATAGACAAACACTGAAATACATTTCTTAAATCCAGACTGAAGAAGTCAGTTTTATTCGCTCAAATAGGGCTGGGCCGTATCATACCGTTCACGGTAACACCGGTATAACGTTAGGCAATGATAAGAAAATGAAATATGGCGATAGAATATGGGTAAAACGCCAATGCGCAGTGCCTTTGTTTACATACGCACATGGTGGAAAAGCATGGCGGCAACACAGAATGAGAAGAGCGAAAGCGGATCGTTGAATGAAACACACGAACCTGAACTGGTTTGTAAAAATGCTGCAGCTTCACTGGTGTGGAACTGGTTTAGCTTTCGTCCGTCAGATACACAACAAAGCACTATTTTTGGTAGCGCATGCTAGCGGGCCGTCGTTATTACCGTGTTGTTTGGAAAATACGGCGCACTTAAAATCAATCCATTGATTTTTCTGAAAGTCGACAGAGCCCCTTATAATCCCGTGTGCCTTATGTATGAACTCTGGTTGTGTTTACTGACCTCAAAACGATTTTATGTGCACGGCGCTCGAACATCTGTCAAATGTTTCAGTACGACTTTGCTAAGCTACGAAGCCGCACCGCTTGATGGATTGTCGGAGCATTACGGCTATCGTAGGCGGAGCCTCGCGGAGTGATACGTGCTGTGCTTCAACATAATGTTACTGTATTGTGTGTGTATAACCTCTTTTTAAGTGTTGTGAATATTATACATGGTTATGCTGAGGATATGTCGGCCAGTTTCTACTGGAAATGCCTTTTGGTTAAACTGTCAGTGAGGAATTTGCATTTGCACTGTTAAATTTTTATATTTTTACTTTAAAAAAACAGCTGCTTGTTTAAGTGAAAATACATTGATGGTTTTCTTTGCACTAATAAAGTTGAGGAGTTGTAAAGTATTTTGTCTCACGTCAATTACATTGTCAGTTATGTCGTTATCGCAAATTTCCAAATATATATCGTGATAAATATTTTTGGCCATACTGCCCTGCCCTACGCTCAAATTAAACTTTTCTTTGCTCAAATTAATTTTCTCCCCAAAATGCAATGTTGGTATACAGGCACAAAAATAACATCATATAATAATATGTAAACATTGTCCATTAAATTGTTCTTAGTGTTTCTTAGTTTCAGACTCAAATGTTTTTCCTCATTTAGTCAACTAAGAAATTGGTCACCAGGAACATCCAACCGCTGGTGGTAATGACCCACGCCTTTTTTTCACACCTTGGCTCATGTAATGAGGCACATGATTAAAACAGGTCAACAACACTCTTAAGGGACAATTAGGGCTTCAATCCCTGGGACTGGTTTTAGATCTAAAGAAGCCTCTTGGATGAATCCAGTCGGTTTCTTTCCAAGCTCCAAACTACTACGACCTGGATGACTGAGAATCTGCACAGACTTATTCCAAAGCTTGAGCTCTAGGGTTTAAAGTTTGTCTGCTATTATTGTAGCCAAACAACTTTGAATTCACACCATTTGCAGATGAGTTTTTGAAAGAATGACAGACTTACATATATCATTAGGTGTATAATTGTACACCACTAAAGTGAATTTTAAATCAAACAATCAATATGCAATCTACCGTACTTTTTGGACCATAAGGCGCACCGGATTATAAGGTGGACTGTCAATGAACGAGTCTGTTTTCATACATAAGGTGCACCTGATTATAAAAGCATTCAACTTCAGCATATGTATGTGAACAATGTATGTGCCTCCCATGAAAAAGAAAAACACTCAAAATAAACCAATGTTTACATATTATTATATGGTGTTATTTTTGTGCCTGTATACAAACATTGGATTTTGGGGAGAAAATTAATTTGAGCAAAGAAAAGTTTAATTTGAGCGTAGGGCAGGACAGTATGGCCAAAAGTATTTACCTGATTATAAGGAGCATTAATCAAAACAAAACAGTCAGATAAATCAAACTTTATTCAACTCATTCTTCTTGCTTCCTCCACTTCTGTAACATTGATTCATTAATGCTGAATTCTCTCACAGCTGCTCTGTTCCCCAGGTGTTGCAGTATATTAATGACTAACCTCGTATTGTGGATGAATAATCTCAGTTGTTCTCCTGACTGAAGTTTGGTCCGTTTACAGCATCCTGCTATGATTGCATTTGTCTCTAACCATCAGGAACCCTCACGTTAACTTTTATCGAGTGGAAGAAAGTTAGCGTTCATCCTCCAGCTTCACTGTTTATGTTATGCTAACGTAGCTGTGTCGCTAGCAATCACGTAGCACATCATTATATACCAGCTAGCCCAACTTCAGTAACCCTACAAACGTCACTGCTGTTTAGTTTTCTGTCTTCATTTATGTTGGAAGTGGTAGCAGAGCAGGACGTTTGAATTTTATCAGAAATCTCTCAGTCACAATATGCTATATCATGTTTAGGTGGAAGCTAGCGAGCTAACTTCCTGCTAACTTCTAACTCTGTTATATTTAATAAATCCTGTTTTCATGGATGCCTGAATGTTAAACTTCATAGTTACACCTAGTAAAGCAGCAACAATAATCATTTTATTGCAGATGGAAGAATTTAGACAGTTTTTAACTCTCAGTGATGCTGCAGTGATCGTTTGACTTTAGGACCTGAAGCTGACAGAGTTTAGGACCCAGATTCCTCCGTGAGGCTCCTGACTACAGCCAGTGTTGCCAACTCCTCAGTAAGGAAAATCGCTATTGGCTGTCCTAAAAGTCCCTAGAAGTCACTAAATGACGTCATCACCTAATTTGCATAATTGGTCATGCTAATGTCATTGTAACCTACGCTGCTGGAGAGAGAAATAACATCGTGGACGAGACATAAAGTGAGCAAAAAACATCCTAAATGCATTTAGAATTTATTTAGAACTACAAATTAAATTTCTTTTAGCAATTATTGTTTTTTGTAATGTCACAATTCCAACCCTGCTCCTTTACCCAGGCTTGGACCGGCAAAAGTGACCCGAAATAGGCACTCTGGTGGAGTTACTTTGTGTGTGTGTGTTTATAAGTAGTTTTAAACCTGATCCACAAAACAGCATAAGAGTAAAAGAAGAACTGACTGCGTTACAGCACCCGCTGCTTGTTGAGAGTAAAAGCCATATGCGCTTTCACGTCTTTTTTTTAGCGACTTTTCTTAGCAAAAAAGTCGCTAGGGGGTCTGAAAACTCGCTAAATATAGCGACAAAGTCGCTAAGTTGGCAACACTGACTACAGCAGTGTCAGTGTTGCCAACAATCAGTGTTGCTCCAACAATCCATCAAGCGCTGCGGCTTCGTAGCTGAGCAAAGTCGCACTTAAACATTTTTGACAGATTTTTGAGCGCCGTGTAGCACAGAAAATCAGTTCGAGGTCAGTAAGCACAACCAGAATTCATACATAAGGTGCACTGTCGATCTTTGAGAAAATTAAAGGATTTTATATATATAATCCTTATATTGCGGAAAATACGGTAAGTGCACACTTTAAATTTAAATTCAAGGTATTTAACAAAGGTACTATATTAATTGTTATGTAATTACAGCCAATTTTGTACATTGTCTACCATCTCCAAAAACTTAAAATGAACAAAACTGTCTCTGTCTATATATTGTTTTTTAAGTATAGGTTATATATACTTGGCTACTCTGACTGGTATGATGGACTCCTTTACTTGCATCTCTCTGGACCTCGTGTTGAAAGTTCCATTAAAAATAATAATATACAAATCAATGAGTTCAGTGCTTGGAACAACAGATATTTTATTGTGTCATTTATCATAGAATAGCATAGGAACAGGCCTCAGTAGCTGTGAAACTGCTTTCAGTTGTTCTTGTACTATTCATGGAATAGAAGCTTACAAAATTGAAAGACCAAGCAGCCAACGTTCTTTTGCAGCCATCTGTGTGCATCACACTTTGGCCTGAGATACTACATGAGGGTGCACAAATAAATCAGTGCTAAGATCGACTTGACCATGGTAGTTGACCATACATGCTGTTTACACTGCAGTATGAACTGTAACACAGGCTTAGCTAGGGGAATACCTGCTGCTGTTGGTGAGCAACTCTGTTCCACGACTCCAGAACAGACTGGGCTTCGGGGCAGCTCGAGGGCGACAGTCAATCATCACCTGTCCCCCTCTAGCTGCTGGGATAAGCTTCCTTACTGGATTCAACCGGAAATCTGGAGCCTGAACTGAAAGGAAGAGACACACAAGGACAGGGGAACAAAAGAGAGTGGTGCATTGCTGTCAATTGTATCTCCTGTTTGTTTTAATCCAAAGAAAAATTAATGAGGTTTTTCTACACGTAATGGCATGCTTTTAATATGTTGTCTTTAGGAATTATCAATACACCTTTTTACAGGTAAAAGTAGAATAGATTGAAGTAACAAGAGTCCTACTCCTAGGCCAGTAACTAAAGAAACAGGTATCTATGTGTATCACATAGACATAAGTGAGAAGCTGAGACAGTGACAGTCAGTGAGAAGGACTCTCGCTAGGGTCAACCCACAAAAAGTTACTGGACCAGACAATATAGCTGGAGGTGTGCTCAGAGCCTGTGCCGACCAGCGGACATTTCCAACATCTCCCTGAGCCAAGCTGTTGTGCCACAGTGCTTTAAAAACACCACCCACTGAACCCACTACAGTTCACATACCACACAAACCGATCAATGGATCTCAGGTTGGACAGGATCCATCACACTGAGCACAGGAACCGTGTTCGACCGCAGACCAGAGGATTGTGTGGAGCACATCGTTGGCAGCTCTCTACCCAGTCTGTGGACATTTATACCTCATGCTGCATTCATAAAGCCACTACCATCATAGCTGACCCGCATCACCACTCCCTCCAGGATGCTAGGGGGCAGTGTTGAGCTTTTGTTACCTCATGACTACACAAGCCAGGAAGTACCAACGACCGGATTTGGTGTGTGGTAGTAACAGGTTAAATTTTTTTTTATTATTTGAATATATATGAGTGCTTGTGTATAAATACACAAACAATACACACATGCTTTCATGCTTTCAGTTGTGTAATTTAAGTGATCTAGTAGCTCTGTTTGGAAGTTCAGTTAATGCTAGAAATGTGTTTTGGAGTTTGTGCATGCTTTGTCTCTAGGGGCCACTGTAAATATTTATATATAAACATATATAAATAAAACCACTTTTTTTACGTTAGTAATTCCTTTTGTGCATAATTTCATATTGTTGTTGATAATAAATTAATTAAAGCAACAAAACAACCTGAAGAGCCGGTTGGGAGCCGAAGGTTCCGGCTCTTTTTAGTGAGCCGAGCCGAAAGAGCCGGATCTCTAAAAAGAGCTGGAAATCCCATCGCTAATTCTTACTCTATTTCTATTCAAGTACAATACTGTTGTACTTATTCGTAGTTGATCTTGTTTCTGTATAGTTGTATGTATGTATTTGAATTTCTTTCATTTTACAGTTTGCACCTTTGATACAGGACGACGATATTTCACCCGACTGTATACTTGAGTGTATACTGTTGGGTTGACAATAAAAACTTGACTGCTTGGCTTGAGAATGAAAAGTCTCTACCTTGGACCCTGAGCTCAGCAGTCGAGTAGATGGTGCCGTGCTTGTTTTCAGCCACACATTGGTACATGCCAGAATCCTCCAGAGCGAGGTTGATGATTCTGAGATGAACTCCATTCACCTCCACACGATCCTTGAGGTCCGAAGGAGGTAAAGAAGAGATAAAGTTACAGAGAGCACCGATCTGTGACATGTGTAACAAAGCATGCTGTACAGTACTGCATTATTCAGTTCATTGTTTGCAGAAATAACTAAAGTAACTATTAAACTATTAAAGGACAAAAGCCATGCACGCAGGTGTTCTTAGGTCAAATCATTAACTGAAGCACAGCGTTCCTTATTTGTCTGATTATGCTTTGGCTCCTTTTTTCACTGCTTTTAAGAGGCAGTATCCATGGTTGGGATCAAGTCCCTAATAAATAAGGAACTTATGAAGCCCTCTCCATATACCCCACGCCCCATTTTAAGGAGTTTCAAATTTTAAAGTTTTTTGACCCAACGTTTTAAGTTTGAGTTTATTTTGTTCATTAGGTTATCTAAGTTATTTGTTTATTAGATTCCCCTTGTGTATCCAACCCCTGTTAAGTCTCCCTTGTCCTTCATGTGCTTCATGTTTGCGTTTCATTATGTTTCCCATTTTATTTTGAAAGAGGTCCTGTGTTCCTGCATTTTGTTCTACTCTTCCCCTGTGGCGTTGTTATGTTCATGTTGTGTCTACTGTGCCTTTCTGTTCCATGTTTCAGGTTCTGTCTCCCCAGTCTGTTAAGTTTACATGTCTTGAGCTCCGTCAGTGTGTTTCCTGTTTTACTTTCACAGTCTGTCCTATGTTAATGTTTCTAGTTTTGCTTCCCTTGTCTCGTCCTGCCTAATTACTCCCAGCTGTGCTCTCCTCCTGTGGCTCATTCCCCCTCGTTATCCCTCAGTGTATTTAAGCCCCATGTTTCTCTTTGTCAGTGTTGCGTCCTCCCTCATAGCTGTGTGATTTTTCCCTGTGGCTCCTTGTGCTTTAGTTTTCCCAGTTTATTTTTGTATTGTTTTTTGTGTCCCACGCCAGCAATAAAGCTGTGTTTTTGAGTTTACTTTTTGTCTCTGCGAGTTTGCGTTTGGGTCCTACTCTTGCCTGCACACAGCCGTATTGTGACATTTACAAATTTAAGAAATAGCACAATATACACAAATCACTCAATAATGAATATCAATGATTGACGGAGGTGATTATAGATAAATATCAAGAAAGTTGAGAGCAACATTAGCGAGTAAGAAAAGAGCGTGTGCAAAAAGGTGTAACGATTACAGTGTTTACAGTCTATTACATGGAGGAGTTGTGCAGCGATATCCACGGCAGGCAGGATTTCCTGTTCAGTGGTGCATCATGGGTAATCTCAGTCCCCCACTGAGCGTGCTCCTGTGACTGGCCAGCACGTCATGGAGTGGGTGGGAGGTGTTGTCCAGCATCGTCTTTATCTTGGACAACATCCGCCTCTCAGACACCACCCTAAGAGAGTCCAGCTCCACCCCCACTACGTCACTGACATTACCCTATCGTAGGGTACTGTAGCTGTGATGATGTGCTATATAAATAAAAACTAAAAATTTAAATTGATCTGATTGAAAATCCAACCTGTCACCCACCCATGAGAGGAAAGTTTTTAGGATGTTATGAACAACACCAGGGCTGATGCTGCCACCAGCTGGAGCTACTGGAGTGCCCACAGTATCATCACGATGGGCTGAGAGGTTGTCCTCAAAGATATCTCTCTGCTGTACCCACATGGTCATGCCAAATGCCTCCTTCAGAAGTTTTATGGTCAGGTGTGTGTGTGTGTGTTACCTGTGTACTAAGTGGCTGTCCATTGCGTAGCCAGCGTACAGAGGGTCGAGGTTTTCCAGCAGCCACACAACTCCACTGAAGATCTGAGCTAATCTCCACCTCTGAGTCGGTCATCACCTGCAACCACTCTGGTTGAGCTGGACGAGAAGAAAGTCAAAACAAACACACGAGCTATAAAATGAACACGAGTGCATTAAAAATGAAAGGACACGTGCTTTGCTGCACAATGAAGAACCTTTAGTCACCTTGGACATTAATGCGTCCCTGGTACGTGTCCCTTCCTTCTGAGTTGTAGGCTTCACACTCGTAAATGCCCTCATCGTCAAAGGAGAGTTCAGGAAGGGTCAGGGTGGGACCCTCCACAGTGGGGCCTGCCTTGGATGGCATTAGACCATCCACCTTCCTCCACCGCACCTTTGGAACCGGACTTTAAGATGAGAAGCAAAGCGAGAGTTGAGAGATGGAAGTAAGAGGCCAATAAAATGCAGTGCAGAGATCAGAGAGTGATCATTGGGTTTGGACATCTATTACTACAGCTGAACAGCTGATCAGCATCACTCTATAATATAAGTAAAGAAGCATCACAGCAATTCCTGTGATGGACACTTACTTTCCATAAGCAAAGCACTCTAACTGGGTGGTGTGTCCAGCCAGGGCATAGGTATCTGCTAGGAAGCGCACTTTGATGGTTGGAGCTGACTTCCTGGGATTGGCTGGAATGAAAAAGCAAATCTTCTTAGATTATCACTTAATTCTGTGTCATAACCTCTTTTTAGTGTTGTAAAAATCCCAGTTCTTTCAGTGTAAATGAGACCCTTAGTGGAAGGCTTGGGCCAGTACTCCACGGGCTGACCAGCAGGGTGACTAATGAGAAAGTCAGCAGCTGTCTCTGAGTCGACTTTGCTTCAGCCTTTAGTAAACTGATAACAGGCTAATGCCACAACTTACAAGTGGGCGTTGCACTGGGCTGTCAGTGAACAACAACACCCTGTTATCCTCTGTTTGTAGAATAACTTATGCTCAACTACAGACAGCGGAGCAACTATACGCGAGGACGCTAAGACGAGTGATGCAGCTGTAGGTGTTTCATACCATCAGGGACTACCGTGAGCTGGTTGGCCTTGCTGAATGTGCTCTTTGTGCTAACTTCCATGTTGATCGTTGTGAAGCAGAAGTAGTTTGCTGTGTCATTAGGGTCAGCTTTGGCCAGGTACAGATTCCCAGTGACCTGTGACACAAACCAGCGCCCATCATCCTTCCTGATGAAGTTGGGAAACTCGTTGAGAAACCAGCGGTAAGACAGCGCTAGAGAAGAAGAGAATCGACGTCAACCACTTTAGTCATTTCATTCTGTCAGCGCTCAGATTTCACTATAAAGTCACAATCATAACAGTCACAATGTATCAGTGAGAGATTTCATATTTACTGTCATATTCTGCCCCTCTGACCCGTTAATCACCTGCTAGCTGCAGCACGACTCTTTTTTCTTAGTCAAGGAAAATGATGCAAAAGAAAAAACTAATGCTCCAGCCACACACAGGACTGTTCTGTGGCTCTCTAAGAATATATATAATAAATCATTTTCAAGAGCAATGAAGCAGAGAGGTACCTGGGTAATGTGGAGGAGGTTGGCAGGCCAAGAACGTTCCTTGACCTTCATTTATTGTTTGAGGACTTCTGCCATCTGGAGGGAAGTCATGGAGGTCTGAAGAACAAGCAGACAAATAAGTAATAAATGCTGAAAAAAAACAGAAAAGTCCTAAAACCAGCGAGCTGTGATCTAGAAGCAGAGAAAGAATGTACACTGGTGTTTTTGTCTGGTGCCTTTTCTGCCATGTTTTTAAAAGCAGGCAAACAAGTAAAAGGACTGAAAGGACTTTATTACTTACAACCAAACTTGAGGTTGGCTGCTCTGCTAATGATGGTGCCACAGCGGTTGATAGCTAGACACTGGTAAGAGCCTGTATCCCGGATGGGGTCGGGGCTGCTTATCACCAGGGTACCAGCCACCAGGGAGTATCGGTCCAAATTCAGAGGAACCGCAGTCCCATTCACAAGCCACCTGCATGATGAATGGCAGGGAGATAATCATTTGATTCAGGCTTTTTTTTTATCCTGTAGTATAAAAAATTAAAAGTTTTATGGTAGTTTCATTTTAATGGAGTGAAAAGGAAACATTTGACTTCAAAGATCCAAACTGATTTGGATGTCACTGAGTTAAAGAACGTCCAGCTCTCACAGATCAGCTGTGTGCCCTGGAGCACAGTCACAGATATGGCTCGGCAGGTTTAGCTAACAACTGAGGTTGTTAAACCTGAGATGGTGCAACTCCGGCTTCCTGTTGCAGAAAAAAAGTTCAGTTCAACTCTGAGTCAGTCACTGGGTCTGTGATACTAACATACTCACGGCCAGCTCTTCTCAAACAAACCCTAACCTTTCTCTCTAACTCCTCCCATCCTGACTCTCCAATCCATGTCCTCACTCATAAAGGAGTGAAGTCCAGAAGGACTTGACCTTAGCAGCTAAAGAAGGGCAGGAGACTGACGCTGTCCAGTGTAGCGAGTGATTTATTCATTTTGTGACCAAACAATATTTACAAAAATTAATAAGAAACTCAACTCCATAGTTAACTCAGTCAAATAAACATAACTGAACTTAACTCAATGGAAATGAAGGTGAAAATGTAAACAGCTACACTGACCTGGTTCTTTTCTGCTTAAATGGTCCACTGAACCAAACAGTCTCACTCTATCCCATTAGGTAGGTAAGACAAACATTTCTGGACTCAGACATATTACAACAAATCAATTTCTCTATAAACACAGTCTAAAATCAGTTTTATTAAATTACAAAGGTTCTCCTCCTTCGTCACCTGGTCTCTTCCTGTGACCTCAGATTAACCAGGAAGCTATAAATGCAGTAAAACTACATTTCCTCCTTTTGTTCCTGGAACACTGGTTGGTAAGGTGAGTTCAAACTAAACCAATTAACAGTTGAAATGAAAAAAAAAACATGTTAACTTAACAAACCTGTCAGAATCGAAGATTTTACATGATATAATCTGTAAAAGTGGAAAACATAACCAAACTCATAGCAAATGCTTGCTAGTGATGGCCAAATGAAGCTTTCTGAAGCATTGAAGCACGTATTCATTACTCGAAGCTTTTCAACACAGTCCTCTCTGGTGACATCTGGTGGCCAAAAATATGAAGAGCAGCTTGAATCCACAAAATAAAACCAACTGCTTCATTATGACTGCTCACGCTACAGAGTGGAGTTCTGTTTGACACTGGGCCACCGCTGTGTTGCTTTGAACATGTTTATTGATCACAATAATTTATTAAATAAACAAAGTTCCCTTGTTCAAACATGCACCATGATGTGGTCTTTCTTTACTTCTGACTTCTTGATGTTGGTAAATACAATAAGTGAAAAATACATTATGGAGTATGCTTCTGCTGTGAGGTCCTGCCTCCATACTTATGCAGTTAATCACTGGACAGGTATGTTTATAAATAATATTATATTAGGCCAATTTTCTTAGACATATTTTTGACCTCGGGGTAGATTGATTGTGAACTGGAAAGAGATCATGCATATGTACTTGCAAATTAAAAACATGATCCATTTAAGGAAACCCTTTTTCATTTTTATTTAAAGAGAATTTGTTCCTTCGTGCGATGAGATAATTTGTCCTTTGAAGAAAATCCTCTCACACAGAAGAGAGGAGGCTGTAGAGATGCAGGTGTACGGTCTTCCTGGGTCCCACAGACTATCAGCCAGAAAACATTTTAGGATTATTTTTAAAATAAAATATATTTTATTACATTAAATAAAAAGAGTCAAATGGATGTGTTTCTAAAGTTATTTAATGATATTTATATTATGAAAAGCAGATTTTTGACATGTTAAGTTTATAAACACGCACTAAACAAAAGCAAACAACAAGAACACAAAGCTGGAAAACCAAAACTGACCAAAACCAACTCAAAATACTCCCACATGACAGAACCTCCTCTCTTCCTCGCTGGCTCCATATCTGTCAATACAATAATCAGTGGTTCGCTGTCTCTCACCATCAAAACACTCCACAAATTCGCTTCCCTATAAACCACTGAATCAGTTACGTTCTAAATGAAGCTTCGGACGCCACTGATCACGTGACTCTGGCCAAACGAATCAAGTCTCCACACAGTTCTTTTTGACACACAGCGTCAGCTTCAAGCGGGTCACCACTAATGTTTGCCTATTACAGAATACATATGAGATATGGCTAAATCACAACAAGAATGTTAACTACGAATATAGACAAGTGGTGTTCTCACCCACTTGGTCACAGGCAGCTTTACATTAGTTGGCTATTTTGTGATTTTCCAGTCGCTCAGTTATCAATATAAAAGGACAGAAACACAAAAATGTATCTAACGACTGGATCTTGGAGAAAATGTAAATATTAGAGTCAAAATGAGGACTTAACACTTGAAAACATATTAAAAGTATTAAAACTAATAACTGAAATTCAGAGTCTGAGTCTGGCCTCAGCCAATCCACCCAAAGATATCATAGGTTCTGTAAGAGATCGGCTTCTGTGTCCAAGTCTATTTGCACGGTAGGATGAATCCAATGAGGAACACATTTCAAACCACAGATTCAGCACGATCAGTCAGTCCTGACACTTGTGTAACCCATATTTAAGGATGGCTTGGATAAAATGTACCAAAACATAAAAAAGACTATTAATCTATAGTGAATGAGCCATAGGTTCAGCAGGGAAAGAGTTAAGAGTTCTGAAGTAAACGTGGGTTGCTCTTAGCCAATGAGCTGCTGCAACGTGGTGCAGTGCCCCGCACGCCATGTCCGGCTGAGAGAGCGCAGGTTTGTCCTCCTCTCTCACGAATACCCCATGACTACGCTAGCGAGGAAAAAGAGATTCAATGAAACAAGGGAAAAATTGATATAAACGGAAGAGTTAGCACTTGCTGCTTATGAAAAATTGTTTTATTGCATGTGTACTGGTAAGACGAGTAACTAGTTCCTTTTACATTGTTAGGTCGGGAGTTAGACAACGCCATTTCATCGTTCCTGCGCCATCTCGTGCTCCTGCGCCATTCGTTTTTCAGATCAGTGAGCATTTTAATTGTTTATTGTTTATCTGCACTTTTCATGAGTTCATTGTAAGCAAAATGTTCTAGTATTTATTAGGAAATTGTTTACAATGTTTTGCGAAAAATTTTATTTTACTTATTGAAAAAAAAGCATTTGAAACTGTTGCACAGATTGTGTGTTTATTTTCAATTTGTAACATGGGTAACATTACAAATAGTACATCTTAAGTGATAGCAAGTTGTGATCTGTGATTATATGGGAACTTAATATGTCCTATGACACTGTCGTTGACAGGTCAGATTTTTTCCTTTGTGTCTTCCTTTTGATGCATTGCAACGGATCCTGTAATCGATGGCGAGCCAATCCCGTTGACGGACCAATTGACTTTGTTCTGTGCTGCACAGCAGAGTGTGATAGGCCAGCTGCAACAAAAAAACACACCACGCCACTTTGAACTTACTGTTCCCCTTCTTCACACACATCTCCTTGGACTTACAGACGGTTTATTTTAAGGACTTTTTACGGACTCTATACATCCCCACGAACAGGAAGAGAAGTGGGTGTGGGCGGTTGGATCTATTTTTCCAACTCAATGGTTGTTGCAATCAGCTAACAAAGTCTGTGAAGTTGCAGATGAACGTTGCTATTTGGATTTTGGTAATTTAAATTGTGGTTTATCTTGAACTTGAACTCTGATTATACACTTAGAAGGGTGCTCCCAGGTAAGGTTTTTTTTAAGTGATTACTGTGATTGTACCACAGGGTCACTGAAGAAAAATACTGGTACCAAAAAGGGATACTTTCATTTGAAAAGTTTTTGTATGTTTGTTATTAATTTTCATTCTTTTATTTTCTGAATGAGTAAAAATACACAAGCCAGCGGTTTTCAAAACTCACAGTTGCCTGAGTCTCATTCAGTTTGCCTCTCCTGTACGTAGCCGAACCTACTGGTCCAAAGCAGTGAGCTCTTTTGCATCAAATGTGGGTGAAGTACAGTTCAGTCCAAACTGAAGGCCTATTAAAAGGTGTCTCACTACCAATGCACACAATAAACAGCTCGTGATGGGTAAAACCAATGAGCTCTCACAAGGTCTCTGCAACTTAATTGTTGCAAAACATACTGATGGCAGTGGTTAGTCCACAAGTGGAAAGAACATCATTTTGACATAAACTGGCCATGACCAGGTGCTCCCTGCAAAAAGAAGAGTGAAAAGAATTTTTACAAGGGTTGTCCCAGAGCCAAAGACAACCTGTGGAGAGCTACAGGAATCAGCAGGTACAACTGTTTCAAAGAAAACAATAAGTAATGCACTTAAGTGCCAAATGCACACTCACCACTCCAGACAACATCGCTGAAATAAAAAGCATGTTGAAGTGTGTTTAAAGTTTGCTGAACAACATTTAGACAAGCCTGTGAAATGTTGGTTGACTAGAGTCTGGTTAGATGAGTCTGGTTTTGAATGCAATAATATGAACCATGTTTGGAGGTCACAAGGCACTGCATGGACATCTGTGGCTTGATTTCTTTACACGTGTGGACTGGATGTGTTGTTACTGATATCTGATGAGAATTTCATATCAAAAGCATTTTTAGAAATATATTTACTTAGACAATTGGTGACGTGTTCAGTACTTATTTTCCCCACTGTACAAATTCACCAGGGCATCAAAAGATTATTCGCCCCATTCTAAACCAAAATAAGACAGCAATTTAATATAGGAATCAAAGTAAGTACCCTAAAACAAACTTTGAAGACCAACTCATTTTATAAAATGTGGGCTCCACAGGGAATGAGTGTGTAAGACTCACCTATAAGCAGCAGCTGGATTTGCTCTGGCCTGACAGCTCAGGGTCACTTTGCCTTCAGTCAGGCCTTCAGGGTAAATTAAACTGCTCGGCTGTTCTTCAAACACTGGCCCGCTGTCATGACCTGCCACACACACATCTCCACCTGGAACCAAAATAACAATGATAACATTACGTATATATGTATATATATATATATATATATATATATGTGTATGTGGTGGGGCGTGGTCTGTGGTGCCGTGCGGACGCACCTGCACGGCATCTGCAGATCACACCTGCGGTGTTAAAACACGGGGACTCAAGGGTTGGTGTGGGGTTGTGGTGGTGTAATGCAAATATCAAATAAAGATGGCTCAAAACATGGATCTGTGGTCCCGTCGTGCCTTAATTCCACCACAACCCCACACCAACCCTTGAGTCCCCGTGTTTTAACATGGCGGGCGTGATTGCAGATGCGTCCGCACGGCACCGCAGACCACGCCCCACCACAATATATATATCACGTGATCAGTGAGATGCTTGGCTACAAGTTGAACAGCCACAAGGGGCAGTACCCTCCATGGAGAAGGAGGCTAGAGGCTAAGATCAAGGTAGCACGGAGGGAGGTTAGCCAACTATCGGAGTTGCAGAAAGGCACGATGAGGAAGGTGCCTAAGAAGTACTGGAAACTGTCCATACCTGAGGCCTTGGAAACTGCCAACCAACGACTCACAGCCTTGGCCAGCCGCTTGATTAGGTACACCAGAGAGATAGAAGGCAGGAGAATAAACCAGCTGTTCTCCACGGAACCAGCCAAGGTGTACTCTCAGTGGCAGGGGAACAATAAGAGAACAGCACCACCAAGGCTGGAGGCAGAACAATACTGGAAGAGCATATGGGAGATGGACGCAACCCATAACGGCAATGCTCAGTGGCTAGTGGATCTGAGGGCAGACCACAGCGACCTCCCCGAACAGGGTCCAGTAACCATCACAGTGGCAGATATCCCAGAAAGGGTCTCCAGTATGAAGAGTTGGACAGCACCAGGGCCCGACATGGTTCACGCCTACTGGCTGAAGAAGCTGACTGCACTCCACGAGCACCTGGCAGCACAATTGAACCAACTGCTAGTTGACAAGAGACACCCGGAATGGTTAACCGAAGGCCGGACAGTCTTGATCCTCAAGGACCCCCAGAAGGGACCAGTCCCCTCCAACTACCGACCAATAACCTGCCTCAGTACTACATGGAAGCTCCTGTCAGGCATCATATTGGCTAAGATGAACAGGCACATGGGTCAATACATGAGCGGGGCACAGAAAGGGATGGGCAAGAATACCAGAGGCGCAAAACACCAGCTACTGGCAGACCAAGCAGTCAGCTGAGACTGCAAGACCAGACTGACCAACCTGTGCACTGCCTGGATTGATTACAAGAAGGCCTATGACTCAATGCCC